GCTATCTCAAGCAAAAGGCCTTTCCTGATGTCAACAAAGTTACTGCTTTCCCACCCACTAACATTACCTTGTATTTATAGAATATGAATTCTTGAAGGGTAGCAATTATTTTGATTTTGTCTGTCTGTCTCTCTCTCCACCCTTCTCCCCCCCCCACTCCTTTTTTGCTACAACACCAAGTAGCAGAGTACTTTTGAATGGACTATTAAAATAAGGGACATTGAGTGCATTACTCTAGCCCAACATTAAAATTCCCTTTGTATTTTCCTTTCTTTACTCTTATTTTTATTTTAGAAATTGATATCAAATATACCTATGCCTAAAGCTACTTAGATTTTCAGTAAGAATGGGATAGCACATGCTTATTTCACATGTGTATAGTAGTGTGAGTAATGTAATTCAAAATAGCACACAATGGGCACGTAATAAGTACTAATTAAAATGTGTTGAAATAAGGATACAGGTGCCAGAGAGATCAAAAGTGTGCCACTAAAATCTGAAGGGAAATAAAAAGAGACCTACAGAAAAGTTTGGGGAAAAACAAGTTTGACAATTTTGCTAAGAATTAACCCTGATGTATTCACTGGTTGTTCTCAGTCTTTGGAGGATCTTAAAGGGTCATAGCCTTTTGTCTGAACTCCATTAGCAAAATTCCAAATAAAACAGAGTTATAGCTAATTACAGCCTAATAAAAATGAAACTTAAAACTTACCAATCAATCAATTTTCTGAATTCATCTTTATGGTTTTTGCAATTGCATAATGGAGGTCCTATTACGTAATTATGTGCTTACTTTCGATTTTTACTAAATGTGGGATTTTAAGTCATGTTTGTCTTTGTTACTATTTATCAGATATTAATATGGAAAGGTTTTGGTTTATTATATTTAATGTGATAAAATATTGTTTCTTACTGGAACATCAACAAATGATATTAAAAACTCTATCTTAGGTGGCAGGGCAGCTGGTCGGGTCACTGGCGGTTTGATGTGGTAGTAAAGTCAAGAGAGTTGAAGACATGGGGCAGTGTCATGGGGACTGAGATTTAGGCAAAATTTTTAGCTAGACAGGCAGAGATCAGAACTGATTACAAGTAGCACAACTGAAGCTACCAGATATGATTGATATAGGTCAGTTTAAAAAAAGGGAGGACAAGTCTGGTAGACAAGAAAGCTAAGTCATGAGCTGGTCTAGATAGAACAAAACCAGGCAGGTTTACTAAGCTAGAGAAAGTAAAGCACCAGGAATAATAGCTAGGGAACAGAAACAATAATACAAGGGATTTGTTGAGAAGAGAGAATGGATAGTGAGCAAGTAGAAGCAATGCTATTAACAAATTTTACAAAAGTTTAGCAGGAAAGATAGGATGGAACTAGATGAGACAAAAAGGTTAAGGAAAAGACTTTCTTTTTCTTTTTTTAAAGATGGAAGAGACCTAAGCATGTCTGTAGGCAAATATAAAGAAAGTAGCCATGTTAAGAGAAGACTGAAAAAGCTTACAAAAGGCTATGACTCCTGATGCAAAACCCTGAAGGAGAGAGGAAGGTATAGAATCAAGGAAGCAGGAAGAGGGGTTAACCTAAGTGAGATATAGAGATTCTTCTTCCTCCAGGACTAAAGGAAAAAAAGGGAAGGGAAGGGAGCATTCATTTACTAAGTGCCTATTACGTACCAGATACTGTGCTAAGCATTTTACAAATATTATCTAATTTGATCCTCACAACAACTCTGTGAGGTAGGTGCTATTATTATCTCCATTTTACAGATGAGAAATCTAAGACAGACAGAGGCTAAGTGGTTTGCCCTCAGTCAGATAGCTACAGAGTATCTATATGATAAAGTATTTGAACTCGTCTTCCTTTTTCCAGGTCCAGTGCTGCAGCTACTGTATCCCCCATCTCCCTGAAAGAAGGGAAAAGTATGATTATGCTGAGAAATATTGAGGAAGAGAAGAGAAGTGAGTAAGCTGGCATCAAATGGCCTCAACTTTCTCCATAAAGTAGGAAATTAAGTCATCTGCTTTAAGTGTTGAAGGTAAGGGTGAGAGGAAAGAGGAAATAGTTTGGAATGGTTATTGTGAGGAATTAGATAGTAGTTAATAACATGAATTAGATCCAATTTTGTATCATGGATCATTGGGACAGTCTAGTGAAACTTACAATCCTCTACTCAGAATAATATTTTTAAATGAAATGCCAAACTCAAATTACATGTTAGTGAAATTAAAAATGTGATTTTTTCCCATCCAATGCCAGTGGTCTCCTAAAATCTATCCATGGACTGCTTGGGAGTTCATGGGCTCCAGGTTAAAAACTCCTGGACTATATAATTTTTGAGGTTCCTTCTAACTTGAGTTTCAATGAAATGTGTGTGTACATATATATATTACATATATATATACACACATATATATATATACATATATATATATAAATGATCCCACAGTTACATTGCAAATTGGTTATATTGAAATTACTCTATCCTCACATACATAGTGATATCAGGTGTCTTTCTTTATCTAAGCTGTAGAAAACAAATTAAATTAAATTCAACAAACATTTCTTCAGTACCTACTATATGCTAAACAGTACACTAAGCACTGGGGATAAAATGGAAAAAATGAAACAGTCCTTGCGCTAAAGAGCTTACCTTCTGAACTAAGGTTGATGCCATGTGAGTGAAGAGAAGGGGGATGATGTGAGAAATATTATAGAGGTAGAACTGGCAAAAATTTGCAAATAACTGAGGCAAAGGAAAGGAAAGAGTTGAGGATGTCTCTCAGGTTGCAAACCTAAGTGACTGAGAGTGGCACCCTCAACAGAAATATAAAAGTTAAGAAGAGGGATGGTGTGACCAAGTCATTTTGACTACTATAAATACCCTAATTAATTACAAAAGACGTATGAAGGAAGATACTGTCTGCATCCAGAGAAAGAACTGATAAATAGAAATATGTATAAAATGGTTTTACATATGTGTATACATATATATATATTATACATACATACATACATATTTGCATCCAATGGTAGCCAACTTAGCAAGGAAAGAGGAGAAAAAAAGAGAAAGTTACATGATAACTTTATTATATATTTAAAAGGAACAGCAAGTTGTACGTAAAAGATTTGCAGTTTCATGTACAATCTTCTAGAGATGCTTGTTTTATTTCCTAAGTTCAGAATAAAATAAATAAAATTTTAAACAAGAAAAAAGATGGCTTTGTAGGTGAAGATGAGTTCTGTTTTGGACTTGTTGAATTTGAGATGCCAATGGGATGGCAAGATGGCAACATTCAGTAAGCATTTGGTAAACCAGGATTGACAACCAGGAGAGAAACGAAGGCTAGATATGTGAATTTGAGACTTATTTGCATAAAGATGACAATTGGTTGAGAACTAATGAGATGATCACCAAAAGAATGAGTGTAGAGGGAGAAAAGAATCCAGGATGCATTCTTGAGATGTTTGAATACAGAAAGACACTAATCCAGCAAAAAAATGACTGAGAATGAATGGTTAGGCAAGTAGGAAAAGGGCCAGTAGAGAACAGTTTCACAAAAGCCTAGGGAATGGAATATCTGAGAGAAAGGAGTAGGGAGTAGAATGGTCAATAGTGTTGATCTGCAGAAAGTTCAGGAAGAATGAAGACTAAGAAAAGGCCACCAGATTTAGCAGTAAGAAGATAAATGGTGACCTTGGATAGAGCAGTTTCACTTGTGTAGTGGGGGGTTAAGCCCACTAAAAAAGACTGAGAAATAAGTGAGAAGTGAGGAAGTGTAAATCACAAATGTAGACAGGATTTTCTAGGGATTTGGTAAGTGGAAAGAAACTGAAAGATAGCAGGGTCAAATGAATGTGTTTTTAGGTTGTATGTAGGGGACAGATTGAATACATCAATGAAATCACCCCATTTAAAATAGGTGATAAGATGCTGGCCCAAAGATGTTGAGCTAAATGCTTGGATTACAAAATCCTAACAGTAGATAACTTGAAAGAATCATGATTATAGCTACTAGATCTTCAAGGGTCTGTGATTTCATTGGCATGGATACTTTTTTTCTCCACTGATGAGCTCTTTCAAAATTAAAGAGGTTGGCCTCCAACGACAGTAATCCTCTACCAAAAGGCATACTTCCGAAACCTTTCCTTCTAGCTTAGCCAGTTTGGGCTGACATTGCCTGTGAGAAGCCTGGGTCACCTTCTACCCCAAGATAAGGCACAGGAGTAGGTAGGTCTTTTAGTGGAGATGAGTCTAACACAGTCCCTGAATGACAAATGTTGTCAAGGAGCCACGCGTGGGTCACATGTAAGAAACATTGTTGAGGGTTGCTATTTATAAATGTTATTTGCCTTACCAGCTGTTAAATTCTCAGAAGTCAGCTGTATCCCCAAATCAACCCTGTAATTGGCAAGGCAGGAAAGTAAACTGATGACAGCATACTGATTTTTAGAAAAATTTCCCCAGGTGCTGTAAGAAATACTATCATCCCACAGCTAAGTAAATTAAAAAAGAAAATTTCCTTTGGGAACAAACAAAACAATGAATTTGGATCCAACGCACCCAATGTACCCAAGTCGAAAAGGGGTGAAAAAGGAAAAGAGAAGCAGAGAAAAAAGGGGGAAAATCAGAGAGAAGAACTGTGGCATGACTCTCTCTCTAGGTGCCAGATGTGAGGGTTAATAAAAGAGGGAAGGGCCCCCAGGGGCGCAGTCTAACACATGAGTCTGTCCTATTGCTCACGCCCCGTGACTGCCCAGGCGTCACTCACTGGGCAGAGACCCAGAAGGGGCGGGGACGAAGGCGAAGTCACATGGGTGAAGCCGGCGAGACAAGGAAAGAAGCTGGTTTGAGGGGGACCGGAGAGTACTCCTACGGGTGTCACGCTCTCAGAAACAACATCCCCCAGCATGCAGAGCAGCAACGACCGCCCGACCTTTAGGTTCCATGGGGCGTGTTGCAGGATGGGATTGGGAGTCTACGCCTCTGACAGATCGGACCGGATGCGGGGTGGTAAGGCGTAGGGGTCGATTGGTCCGTCCGGATTGGTCGGTAAGGGCGGAGGCCCCGCCCACAGATGGTGACGACAAGCGGTCCCAGTACATAAGGCGTTGTGGCCCCAGACCGCCCCGCCTTAGCTCCCGCGCTAGAGAGAAACATGTATCGATTTCGCTCACAGCTCTTCACGGGGATTTCTGCTGCCGCCATCGCCCACTCTTCCCCTCGCCGTTTCTCGCCTTTGTTGTTAGCCGAAGATTTATCGCTTAGCCACCCGCCGCACAGACGCACGAGTAAAAAGTGCAGCTCCATCGGCTGATCCTCGCTGTGCTTCCACCTCCGGGCGGCACCGGGCGTCCCACGATGCCGAAGAATAAGAAGCGGAACACTCCCCACCGCGGCGGCGGCGCAGGAGCAGCAGCGACGGCGGCGGCAGCAGGTGAGGGCCGTCCTACCACCGGCTCCCTCGTCGCTGTCGGCCTAGTCCACGCGTCGCCCCCGGACTCGGGCATTGTGGGAGTTGTAGTGCTCCTCCTCTGTGGCCTCCGGTTTCGGGGTTACCCCTGTGGGGGACAGGAGAACTACCACTCCCGACATGCCTTTGAGACCGTGCAGCGCTGTCCCCTCGCGCACAATGGCGGAGGCCGTGGGGCTCCTAGGGACAAGGGGCGGGGTGTGGGGGGGAGGGGGTGCGCTGGGTCCCTGAACCTCAGAAAGAAGCGGGCAACTTGGGAGGAAGGGAGTTTTCCCGGGATCGAGGTGACAGGACGCAAAAGGGTCTTGGACAGTTTTATCTGCTGTTGCTGGACCTCGCTCCCGGACACTCCCTCCTCCTCCCCTCTAATCCCCTTTCCAAAATGGAGTCTCCAGGGAATGTCACCCGCCCGCCGGCCTGGCACCTTCCTTCCCGGAGTCGGGATTCCCGGTTACTTCTGGCCGCCTCCCCTCTGCCCCACCTCGCCCTCGTGCGTAGGACCGGCCGGCTCCTGCGTCAGCCGGAGCGGGGCCCGAAGCTGTGGGTGACAGGGGGATCGAGGTCTGCTAGACCCGGTGCCCGTGACCTCCACTCCTGCCCCCAACCATTAACCTCCAGGGCGGCCTTGGAGCAGGACTTCCTGCTTGACTCGGAAACAGGGAGCTCGGTTCCCTCACTCCATCAGCCTTCACCTTAACAGCCATCACAGGACAAGCTTCTTCTCCCTCCCCAGGCTCGGATTACCACCCCTCACTCCCTACCCCCTCGTCTCTGGTCTCAGTACTCTTGTTCCTTTCCCTGGTGGATACTTGCAGTTCAGACCGAATTCACTTGAAGCAGTGACTTGAAGGAACACTCTTCTCTTTACGTTCATCCACCAGGTACTCTGAAAACAAGTAAAAAGGATAAGGAAGGGGCGGTGAGAAAACCAAAGCAGTAAAAGATTAACGAAAAAACAGAAACTCTTGTTTCCTTATTTGGAAACTAATGCATAAATATTCTTTTATTCCTGTTGACCAAATGGTGTGGAGGCTTTGCTTTATTCATTATTTCTCTACTTATGGTTGAGTTACTGACATTGTCATTGTTCTCATCCTAGCTAAGCTCATATCCTGTACAGAACTAAACAGTTTAAAACCAAAACACAGCATTAGCCTAAGGTATTATTGAATGATTGAGTTTAAGTTTCTGATATCTTGAGGGACTATCATCAGTCAGTATAGGCATGTAAATAATTGCAAGTTTTTTGGAAAGTTTTGATTAACTCCACTGATGATTGAAATTCAGACTGATTTATCTTATTTTATATCGAATAAGTCAAATTTTAGCTTAGAGGAGATTCTGACTTAGTACTCCGGGAAAAGTACGGATAGAATTACTACTTACTCTCTGCTTAAAGCTTATATTCTTTATCAGAAAGCCTATTGAATAATTGCTATGTTCTATACAAATTGCTTTTGAAAACAATATTTTTCTATTTTTCTCTGCCTCTCCACTTTGATTTTCTCTAAAATGTGTGATTCTTTGATTTAGAATAGTCAACTTGGAGTAGTAGATAGAGGAGACCAGCCTTGGATAAAATACTACCTTTTGATGTATATAGTAACTGTGATTGGACAAAACCTCAGCATCCCAGGCAGCAACTTGCAGATGATTTGTATTAATGGAGGAAGTTCCCCATTCCAAGTTATGACCTAGATCAAGGGTGGGGAACCTGCAGCCTTGAGGTCCCATGTGGCCCTCTGGGTCCTCAGGTTCGGCCCTTTTCCTGAATCCAAACTTCACAAAACAAATCCCCTTAATAAAAGGAGGCTGCAGGTTTCCCACTCCTGACCTAGATGCTCACTTTCCCCCCTTAAGAAAATTATTTCAGCTGCTATCCCAAGTAGGTGGTGCTTCTAATGTCGAGTTCCTTGTGCATTATTTGTTAGATGTGTGTTCAGTGAAGAATGGAGTTTGCATCATTCCTGAAGTATGTGTTCATCAAATTTGGATGCATAAATGATATATACATAAACTTGGCTGGTTTCTGTTTCTGGCAATTAGTTAGTCTTAATTCTCTGGCCATGGGGCTTTGAATAATTTGCTTCAGCCTCTCTGGACTTTATTATTTACCTTAACTGTATACAAAATGAAGACAAACTTAGACAACTTTCCTAAAGTTTCTTTCAGTTTTGTTCCTTTCATGTTTTGTGTTCTAATGTACCTTGTCATATTGTTTACATAGAAATTATGGAAGCAGGGCCTTAAAAGCTGATGTGATAGTGGTAGCATGAGTCATGCTGATACTAATGCCTTCCTCGTATTACAAACATTCTATAACTCCCTTGCATCTTCTTTATATAGTAATATGGGACCTCTTTTCTACCAGTAAATGGAATGGAGTTTTGAGTTCAAGTTCTCAAACCCTACTTCTATATTTTAAAATTTTGGGATTTTTTTTCCCACATAATATAAACTTTTTTCTGTTTAGGTGTAGAGAAAGACCTTCATACCACATGCTAAGGAGGCTACTGTGAAGGGAGCAAATTGGGGGCTGGTGGGAGTGTATACCCATGGTGCTAGGAAAGGCTTCAGGATCCTAGCTTGGCTGGTGTTCCCTGATGTAGGTGTTGATTCTAGACATTCTCCCATGGATTCAATGATCATCTCTATGCAAATGATTCTCAGATCTATTCTCCTACTCTAACCTCTACCTGCCTCCAGTTTCCCACCTCCAACTACTAAATTGGACATTTCAAGCTATGTTTCGTAGACCTCTTAAACTCAGCATGGCCAAAACTGAACTCATTGTCTGTCATTCTTCCTAAACCCTCCCCTCTTCCTACCTTCCCTGTTACTCGCAAAGATACTGCCATCCATTCAGTCACCAGGCTTACCACTCAAGTGTCAGACTCCTCTTTCTCACCACCCATACATATGTGTAATCAGTTGCCAAGTTCTACCTTTGTAATATTTGTTGTACACACCCTGTTTTTCCGCTGACACTGCTCTGCTCTGAGTCCAGAGCCTCATTTCCTCACTTGGACTATTTTGGTAATCTGCTGAATGGTCTCGATGCCTCAACTCTTTCCCCACTCCAGTGTCCTCCATTCACCTTCTTCCCAGTTGATCTTCCTTATGTGCAGGTCTGATCATGTCACCTTGCCTCCTTATTCAAAAACTCCAGTGGCTTCCTATCACCTCTCGAATCAAATATAAAATCCCTTCTCCTTAAAGCCCTTTGTAACCTGGCCCTTTCCTACCTTTCCAATATTCTTAGAACTTCTTTCTTTCTACCTGCTCTTCAGTGATACTGGCTTCCTTGCAGTATATTCCTCAAAGGTCTCCTGACTCTGCATTTTCATTCACTGTCCCCCATGCCTGGAACTCTCCCTCCTCCTGGCTTCCTTCAAGTCTCGGCCAAAGTCTGCAAGAAGTCTGCAAAGCCATCATCTGCAAGAAGCATTTCATAGTCCTCAATATTAGTGCCTTCTCTCTGAGATTATCTCCAGTTTCTCATGTATATAGCATGTTTGTACGTACTTGTTTGTGCTGCCTCCCCCCTCAGACTATGAACTTCTTGAGAACAGAGACTGTGGTTTGTGTTTCTTTGTATCCTCCATACTTTAGGACAGCGTGGGGAACGGAGGCACATAATAAATGCTTGTTTATTTGACACAGGAGACAATCTGCTCCCATCTGGTGCAGTTGCCCTTGGAGAAGGGGAATATATTCCCCTAGAGAATCTGACATGTGTTTGTGGCCCTAGAACACTGAAAAGGAGGTAGCAAGTGAGAGAAAACACAGCAGTGGGGGGAGATGAACCATTAGGAAATGGGATACGGTGGTCCAAAAGGAGTGGCTCCCCCAATATGTTAGCACATTAGTTAGTGGATCTAGCCTTGGTGTTTTTGAATCATTGGTTGATCTAGTAAATTTTAAGAGGCAGCTAGGTGACACAAGTTTACAGAGTGCCATCCTAGAGTCAGGAAGTCCTAATTTCAGATCTAGTGTTTGATTCTACCAATATGACACTGGGAAAGTCACTTAAACTCTTCTGCCTCAATTTCTTCATCTGTAAAATAAGGATAACACCCACCTCTTAGTGTTATGAGGGTAAAATGATAGATAAATACTTATAAGACATTTTGCAAATCTTAAAGCACTATTTAAATGTTTATTGTTGTTTCTAAAGTCCCTTCTGGCTTTAAAATTCCATGATTCTGTACTGTGAATCTGATCTTGGTCAGACTCCTTAAATTTGAGTTTGAGGATTGAGACCTAACCTTGTCAGTTCTGCACTTTCTAATCTAGCACTTGTCTAGTGAATGTATGCTAAACATACATTTAGGTAGGATCCTTTAGAGGATATCCATGGATAAAGATGGGGACAGATGTAATTTTAATTATATTTTTTCCATAATAACTGAAAGGCGTTATAGATAATAAACTTGTATTTATGTGGGTGCTTTAAGATTTTACAAAGTACTTTAAATATAGCAGCATCTCATAATAATCCTCTGAATTACAGACTGTAGCTATTAACTTCATTTTGTGGATGAATCTCAGAGTGGTTAGATTAGTTATCCTCACAGTTTCCATGTATCTTGAGTCAATGTAAGAAATTAAATGGGAACTTGGGGCGGAAGCTGGAGGCGATGTGCAAAGGCCAGTAGGTGACTCAGAACCTTTGACCAAATACGTAACCCCTATTTTATAATAAGGTCCCTAAACACCCCATAAAAGAAAAAGAAACAATTCAGACTTCTTCTCTGGTATGAAAAGAGGGCCAAAAATTTTACATGGATTTTCCAGATTGTGGGGGCTCCATGCCCCTAACCCTATGATGTGGAAGGAAACTGTTGTATTTGCCCGTGGTGTTGTGTGTCTAGCAGATGTCTAGTTTTGAAATGCAGGTGAAGCCTCCAAATCTAGTGCTTTCTTCTACAAGTAGAGTAGCACAAATGGAGAAATTCTGAAATGAAAGGAACCTTTTTAAAGTTTCCTTTAGAGATTTGTGTTGACTTGTGTCACTATTTTCCTACAGTGAAAGTGATAAAATTAATGTAATGAAATTCTTTGGTTCTGGTAGATACCAATTCAGAATCAAAATGACCCATGAAGAAAGAAACAGCAAATGGGAAGAAAGTTTATAGGTTAGATCTTTAAGATTTCATCTGTGTGAACTCAGTAACGTAGATCACACAAATATGCTTTTTAAAGATAAATTTTAACTAATACTTTTTGTTTTTGTATCTGCCTAAATTTTTCTCATGTCAGCCCTCCCCTCTTCCAGAGAGCCATCCCATATAACAAAGAATTAAAATAAGGAGAGGAAGAGCAGGGAAAATATTCTGACAACACATGCAATATTACACCCCTGTGGATCCATCTCTGCAAAGAAGTGAGGGAGGTGTCTTCTCATATCTCTTCTTTGTAGCCAGGCTTCTTGTTGGTAATTTTGCAGTATTTATTTTTGATTGTTTTGTGGGTTCTTTCTACTTACATTCTTGTAGTAGTTATGTATATTGTTCTCTTGGCTCTGTTTACTTCACTTTGTTTCAGTTCAAGAAATTTTTTTTTCCATGCTTTTTAACTGTATTCATCATATTTTTTTGTTATAACTGAGTAAGTTCCATCACATTCATAATGTGTTAGGCCGGTTGTTATGTTCATCCATTTCCCAAGCAATGGGCATCTACTTTGTTTCCATTTCTTTGCATTCAGGATATTTTAGTATTTTTGTAGCACTTAAAGGCTGATCATCTATAAAGATTACATTGTAGGAAATAATTACAGATAGTTAAGTATAGAACCAGAGAACTATCATAAAGCCAAACACTCATGCTTACTGATAATTACCAATCATGGTCTAGTGAGAACAGTTGGAGATGTCTATTTAAATGACACCTCAGACCTCAATTATGTAAATATAGCAACAGCTCGTACAGGGTAACATAACATATTTGTCAGAAGTGGAACTTGAACCCAGGTCTTCTCTTACTGATTCTTGAGTTCCATCTACCATATTGCATCTCATTAATAATATTTAAAAGAATGAAATCTGTTGTACAGAGGAAAAAATACTGAACACGGAATCATGAGACCTGGTTTCTAGTCCCGGCTTCTGCCCTTGTGATCATGAGCAAATCACTTCACTCCTGGGCTTTAGGTTTTTCATCTGGAAAATGAGGTAATAGATTAAATGAACTCTAAGGTCTTTTCTGGCTATAAAATTATAAGAGAAATGTCTTCCACACTTTTGCCATCTCATTAGGCCCTAAACTGCTGGAACTTTTAGGAAGTGTACCTTAAAGTAAAAGTTATCCTAAAAAGAGAAATCTATCAGTGTACTCTGCTACTTCACGTAAAGACTGTCTCTTGCCATAGCACTTGCTCCCTTTTCTTCTTAGTAAGACAACAAAAAGCTTAAAAATTAAGAAATAGAATTGTTTATATTCATGGGGACATCATGCAAGTTTGTTTTTCTAAGTACTGCTAAGGCGGTAAGCAACACAGTAAACAAGAATTCAAAGGTTCCTATGACATACATTCTTTCTTGGACATGAGAATCCTGGGCATAGTCACACAATACTCTGTTAAGATGCGCGCGCACACGCGCACACGCACACACATACATATACATACACACATACATATGTCAACTAAACTTACAGTAGAGTAGGTTTTCTGACTCGCTGTCCAGTATTTTGGGTGATCCCCACTATCGCCACTATCAACTGTAGTTGATTTAATGTTGTTTCATCCTGAAAAAGAGAGGCAGCATTGCGTGTTGGCGAGAGGCGCTGACTTTGGAGTCCAGAGAACTGGAGTTCAAGTCCCTCGGGCAAATACTAACTTTGACCCTGGGCATTGTCACTTAGTCCCTCTCAGTTCCCTGCCTTTTTAGCCACTGAGACTGTAAGTTGCACAGTGAGTGCAGAATCTGAATTGTACTTGGGGTTGTCTAAGCCAACGAAATCATGCATTAAGTCTAAAGTGACACTAATAACATGAATTAAATTGCTATGCAGGTGATGGTATTATTTGGTTGGGGTAATTGAAGCATTATAGTTCTAAAAGGAGGCTTTAATGTGAAAATATTGATTTGGTATTTTAGAACCAAAAAAAACCCTATTTTTCTTTAAATACCGTGTGTAAATGTAACCATCCCGTCTTTAGTCAGTATTGGTCAACACTGATTGGTCTAAGAATGGGCAGTTTGTAGCAGTAAGGTAATGGATCCATTTCTATTATGAGTGACCCCTCTGTACTCCCACCCCTCAATTTTATAAAGTTGGACTTTTGTTGTTGAGATTATACAACTTAAAACTGGAAGGAATTGGAGGTTTTTGAGTCCAACTCCCTCATTTTGTAGGTTAGGAAACAAGTCCAGAAAGTGACTTGCTCATGGTCATGTAGATGTTAATGATATGAGAGGTTTGGAATTCAAACTCAGATCCAATGCACTTAGCTCAGTACCTGGCATATAGTAAGCATTTAATAAATGCTTATTGATTAATAGACTGATTATGTCCCCTGGCTCCAAGTCCGGCTCTGTTCACTATACTATTGTTGCCTTGATGAGATTATTATTATTAAGGAATTACTATGTGCAAAACTGTGCCAGGAATTAGAGGTCCTCATAGGTCATGGGTTTATGGTCTTATTAGGAAGAAACGTTGCATAGATAAGTAATGATGATATAGATCATCTTCATGTGTAAGAAGAAGAAATCAAAATGCTTAAAACGGGTCACTCCTGCATTTTAAAATCCTCATGAAAATCAGGTGAGTATATTATCACATTGTCTGACTTTTTCTCCTTCCCTCTCAGGTGGCCAACATCGAAATGTGCAGCCGTTTAGTGATGAAGATGCATCAATTGAGACCATGAGCCATTGCAGTGGTTTCAGTGATCCTGCTAGCTTTGCTGAGGATGGTAAGCTTTCTTTTGTAGCTATAAGAGTAGAGGTTACTTCGCATGAAAGGGTGTTTTAAAGTGTCATTATGGAAAATCTTTTTAGAAACTGAGACAAGCAACTGCCCTATTCCTTCCTCTTTTTATTAAAGCTGATATTTCTTGGCTTATATTTCATTAGGGCCAGAAGTCCTTGATGAGGAAGGAACTCAGGAAGATTTGGAATACAAACTGAAGGGATTAATTGACCTAACATTTGACAAGAGGTAAGCATCACTTTGGGGGAAAAAAAAATTTATGTGGGACATCTAATTACTTTACCTTTTGTGTAGGTAGTTCTCTGTTGTTACAATACATTTTTTCTTAAGGTCTAAGCTATTGAATTTAAACTTTTTGTTTTCTTATTAAGAAGAAAAGGGAGCAAGTGTTATGACAAGGGATAGTCTTTATGTGAAGTAGCAGAGTGCACTGATAAATTTCTCCTTTTAAGATAACTTTTACTTTAAGGTACACTTCCTGAAAGTTCCAGCAGTTTAGGGACTAAAGAGATTGCAGAAGTGTGGAAGATATTTCTCTTACGATTTTATAGCTAAAAAAGACCTTAGAGTTCATTTAATCTATTATCTCTTTTGGATTCTGAAGCCAGGCTATGAAATTAATCACCTGAATATAGATAAATGGATTAAAATGAATAATTTTTTAACTTGTTTGGATTTTTAAAAAATTATTGACATGTATTTGGCATGATGAAAATTAATTTTTAACTAGAGAATACAAAAAAATTTTTTGTCCTCCTTTGTCCTCCTGCCTGGTAATGTGATAAATGTGATAAAAGAGAAAAAGGGAGAGACAAATCTATTGAGTAGTTTCATAAGAACCATATAGGTTTTGTGAGTAAAGTATTTTTAGATTTTATTAGAAAATACTTGAAATGTGTAGAGTCCTAGAGATATAAAAAATGAGCTAACAAATGTCAGTCTAAAAGTATCTTAGCTTTATCATGTCCAAATGTTTTACTTTCTACAGCGCAAAGACAAGGCAGGCTGCTCTTGAAGGCATTAAAAATGCGATGGCTTCTAAAATTCTTTATGAATTTATTCTGGAAAGAAGAATAACATTAACAGACAGCATTGAACGCTGCTTAAAAAAAGGTAATGCTTTTAAAGATTACTGGCAGCCATAGACAATTATGTTTTGCACCTTCCTTAAAATAGCATTGTGATGGCCATAATAATTGTGAATAACCTTACTCTGGGATGACTGTCATTGGTTGTGATAAGGTTTTTTCCTGAAAGTTTTTGATAATCTTTATCCTGAGGCAATTTGTGATAGATACAATATGCCTTAATCAGCCTATTCAGGACGACTCAGTACCATTTTTCAACTGTTTAGTAGCCAGTTGGATTACTGTGGACAGGCCTTTCGTAGAAAAAATTTCTGAATCTTCCCACTTCATTTTTTTAAAGCATTGATCATAACTAACCTAATACTTATGACTATGTTGCATATATTAGGGATGTGAATTACAGAACTTTAGATGAGATGTTTTAGAACCCATTACTTATATTTAACATGTAAGTTCTCTTTTAAAGTATTATCAATCCAGGGACAGCTAGGTGGCACAGTGGATAAAGCTTTGACCTTGGACTCAGGAGGACCTGAGTTCAAATTTGGCCTCAGACACTTGGCACTTACTAGTGTGTGACCCTGGGCAAGTCATTTAACCCCGATTGCCTCACCAAAAAGCAAAAAAAAAAAAAAAAAAAAGTTTTATCAATCCAGTATTAATTTGCTTTAATTTTACTTGAATGTGTAGAAATCTTTAGTCTCTGTAATTCTAAAATATTGATTTTAGTTACCACTCATATAAAAATAAATTTTTGTCATACAGAATTGTACAAATAAAAATTATTGGCTATAAAGGAAAATTTTATAAAGAGAGCTCTATGCAGATTGTCAGCCCAGGAATTTCCCCTTTCATTCTAAAGACAAGCCCTCCCCCCCTCCCCCCTTCCCTCTTCCCTTTGGCTTATTTATTAATCTAGTGTCTAGACATATCTCCATTAGATAGGAGCAATGGCTGGTTAGAAAGGACTCTTCAGGCATACTTTGAGGATGCGGTGGGGAGAGGGATGGTACTAACCCTAAGAAAGAAAAAAATATACAAGTAAATATGTATTTTGCAGGGAGACCAAAGCCCTGTTTAAAGATGAATTTAGGTTTAACAGTAATAGAAATAATCTGAAATGTTGTAGAAAAAATCAATCAACAAACGGTTATTCAGCTCTTTTTTTGTTGTTCAGTTGTTTCAGTCATGTTTGGATCTTTGTGACCCTATTTAGGGTTTCTTGGCAAAGGTAACTGGAATGATTTGCCATTTTCTTCTCCAGCTCATTTTACAGGTGAGCAGAGAGGCAAACAGGGTTTAAGTGCTTTGCCCAGAGTCACACATCTAGTAAGTGTCTAAGGCCAGATTTGAGTTCAGGAAGATGAATCTTCCTGACTCCAGGCTCTGCACTCTAGCCACTGTGCCACCTAACTGTCCTAAGCTCTTACTTTTCACATTTTATTAAATTTTAAGCATTTATAGACTACACAGAGGCTGCAAAGATAACTTTCTCTAGTTATGCATACAGCATTTACAGGAGTTTGGGGAATAGGCATTATAAAGTCAAATAAGACTATGGTGTTACCATTTTTAGACAAATGGTAATCGTCTTTCCTAAATCATGGTTAATTTACTTGTGGCCCTTGCATAGTCAGTTATATTTTTACTTTTGTTTTCTTCTCCAGGAAAAAGCGACGAACAGCGTGCAGCTGCAGGACTGGCATGTATTCTTTGTGTACAGCTGGGGCCTGGAATTGAAAGTGAAGAAGTTTTAAAGACTCTTGGACCTGTTCTAAAGAAAATCATTTGTGATGGAACAGCTAGTATCCAGGCGAGACAGGCTGTAAGTACCATGAGTCAATGTTCCCAGTTTAAGTATTCCTCAGGGGAATCCAGGCGTGAGCAGCACATGTATTTTAATGTACTTCTTCTTTGACAACCATCTCTGTTTCTTCTTAGTAGTAGTAGTCCTTATTGATTTTTTCTTTAGTTTTAGGGAACAACATTTAATGTTATTAAAATTATATCTCTTGCCTCTTATTTTTTGAGATTTTTTTCTTGAATCATATTTAGCAGATTTCTGAAAGTTAAACTATGTCATACTATTAAATAATAGGATACATTACCAAGGAAGGATGTTGGAAATCTCTTAAAATAATCCTGTCTTTCATCTGCTTTGAATAGTTTAGAATCCGGTATGCAAGTAGTTGAAAAAATAAAACATCTGGCTACCCACGTAGGTACATAGCAGGAATAAATGGCAGTTTTTTGTTTTTCCTATTGGGGCTGAAAATCAGGAGTACCTTGCAGAGCTAGGATTTAATCTGTTTTTTGATTCTCTATTCATTGATTTGTTTAGTTCAATCTGCTCTTGGTCTTTGCCAATGGAAGCACTTCGTTTAAGTACTCTCTTCCTCTTCAGATAGTCACGTGTATGCTTATCTGTTTTATTCCTCAGCTAGAATATGTGCTCCCAGAGGGGGTACACTCTTTGCTTTGGTCCTTTTATCCCCAGACTCTAGAAGGGTGCCTTGCATAGAGTTAATAATGCTTGTTAGATTGGATTTGAGGGCTTACTTGGACTAGATGAGATTCAGAGATGTTGTTTTCAACGTGCTTCTTCTGATTTAAAAAAATCTTAATAAATGCTAAAACTCAAATTTTTATGGAATAAGGATTACAGATGAAGATTCTAGTCCCATTTCTGCCTCAGATGCTTACTAGATGTGTGATCCTAGTAGTGACCTAACTTATCCCAGCTCAGTTTCCACATCTGTTGGACTGGATGGCCTTTCAAATCTATTTCAGTTTTAAATCTTATGATTCTCTGATTTGGTAACTAATTAGTATTAGGGGTTTATTTTCAAACTCACTGTTTTAAATTGTGTATATCAGGTACTGCATAGAAAAAGAATTTCTTGTCATGTGGTGGCAGTAATTACAAAGAGCTCGATGATATGTAATTAATCTGGAATAGGTTGTTGCCAGGCAAGAGGAATCTCAATCTGACCCATGAAAAGTCGGGTTCTGAGCATGAAGAAGGACAAAAGAGCAAAGAATAAACTTCCCTGGGATCAGCAATTTACTTTGAGTTAATTTTTAAAAGAAAAATCTGTTCTTGAGCATCTAAAAAATTGTTTCATTCACAGAAGATAACAAGTAGATTGATTTTAGTGATCTTAGTAGAAAAAATGTCATTTTTCTTTGTTTCTACAGAAGAGAGATTTCTAAACTTGATCAAGCGTGAGAATCTAATTGACTAATTATACAAATTAATATAAAGAAAAAATATAGCACCCTAGGTGCTGAAAAAGAGCAGTTGCTTTTTAACCTTTTCTTTTTTGCTTATCAGCACTTCATGACATTTTTTAATGAATTGTGTAAGATTTCATTTGATATGATTAGGGAGAGGAGGTAATGGAAATAATGGTGTTTCTTGATTATGGGGAGAGAATTGATGGCTTCAGTTTATATTACAATTATATTATTTATATGAGTTAGACTTGTGAACTTGTTTAAAGAACAGTAGGATCATGGAATGATTTACCCAAGTCCACAATCAAATTCTAACAGAGCCAGAACTAGTCCCCAAGTATGTTAACTCCTGCTGCAGTGCTTTTCTGCAGTGCTGCTCTTGGGGACTTCAGGAATAGATAGCATTTAAACAATTTTCTTATGAACTTAAATTACAATTTAATTAGAAAGCCTTCAATTAAATAGAAATAAAATAGTAAGCATTAAATTACCTCCCTTCTCTTCTGTGTTTAGTGTGCAACTTGCTTTGGAGTTTGCTGTTTTATTGCCACAGATGACATTACTGTAAGTATAAAACTTAAAATACATTTTATTACATGTCTAGTACAGGGCTGGAGAACCTTTGGCTTCACTGCCACATGTGGCCTTGAAGCTGCAGGTTCCCCACCCCCGGTCTAGTATAATAAAGTTTAAATTGGTCATCTTAATTTATGTTCTTGTGAATTAGGAGTTATATTCAACTATGGAATGTTTGGAAAATATCTTCACCAAGTCATATCACAAAGAGAAAGACACTAATGGCATCTGCAGCACCCCTAATACAGTGCTTCATATCAGCTCTCTTTTAGTGTGGACATTGTTATTGACTATCTGCCCAATCAATGAAGTGAAGAAAAAGATTGAGATGTACGTATTTAATTTTTGTCTGTTTCATTTTCAGAAGGTAATATTTGTTTCCTGATAGTACATTTAGGTGTAAATTTCTTTAAAAAAAATTTCTTGTAAATAGTCTAATAACAACTAACTGTTTTCTAGGCATTTACACAAACTTCCGAGCCTGCTCTCTTGTGATGATGTAAACATGAGAATTGCTGCTGGTGAAACTTTGGCTCTTCTTTTTGAACTTGCAAGAGAAACTGATAATGTAAGTATGTCAGGTACTTAATGAATTACATTTGTATTTATGGCATAGTTGCACTTGATTTTTTGTTCTTTTACCAACCTTTTGGATTTAGAGTAGTATGGTATTATTTATTTGAAGAATTGGTATATCTCACGGAGGAAAAAACCAATAGTTTTAGGTAGTTATAGGTAGGTACAAGAATTGCAGGCTTATTTGGTTGGAATGAGTGCATAAAAATATCAATCAAAGGAGTAATAACGTTACATACAACTTATGTAGTATTTTGTCGTTTACAAAACGATTTTCCACATGTATCTCTTGATTCACCAAATTATTCTAAGAGGTAGATGGGACAAGTGCCTCTGTCGTAACTAAGTAAACAGAGAGATTAAGTGATTTTTTTTTTTCTCAGATCACACAGTATCTCTTGTTCAGTTGTTTTTCAGTTGTGTCCAACGCTTTGTGAGCCCATTTTGGGGCTTTCTTGGCAAAGATACTGGAGTGGTTTGCCATTTCCTTCTCCAGTTCGTTTTGTAGATGAGGAAACGTGAGGTGAACAGTTAAGTGATTTCCCCAGGGTGACATAGCTAGTAAGTGTCTGAAGTCAGATTTGAACTCAGGAGGATGAGTCTTCTAACTGCAGGCCCAGCACTCTTATCCACTGTGCCATCTACCTGCCAGTTTCTGAGCAGGATTCAAATCTTCCTGATGCCAAGCCCAGTGCTTTTCATCTCCACTATGCTGTCTTCCACAGATGGGGCAAGTGCCTCCCTTGTAACTAAGTAAATAATAAGAAATTAGCCTTGGCATGATACAAACTCATGGTTAATAAGACTAGTACTGTTAATTCTTTTGGTAAGGAATCAGAATAATTGTTACTTGGACATAAAATCTAGCATCTAGTAGAATAAATCTAGCATCTAGTAGAATGAAGCATTGGCATGTGCGTTTCTCCAAGTCACGCCTAGAAATTGAGGGTGTTTTTATTTTTAAAGTCTGTGGCTCTCCTGTATTGTAATATCTGAAGATTGATAACAGGGGCTCTTACTTTACATATTATTGGAGGATCCTTCTGAAATATTGAGAAGAGACCAAGAGGAAGAGTAGAATAAGGTTTTCCTCAAATTAGAGGATAACTAGTAGAAGAATAGTGTAATATGTCTCCATGTCTGGATTCATCCTTGTCTTCAAAAGGCAGATTTTCTGGAAATGACAGTGGTGAGCAATTTCAAGTAGAATTGACAGTACATAGGCATACTTAGTCATAAGTAGTCAGAAAACATGAATTTCAAAGCCTAAACTTTTCTTATTTCCAGTATTTACCCGCTACTTATAAATTATTCAGAATTGCTACCAGTCTTACTATCGTGTTTCTCAAAGAAAGCACTTCTCTATTGTTCTTGTAATTTTTTTTAGTTGGCATAAACACATTCCAAGAATATTTATTTATTTACTCAAGTCCCAAGTTTGTTTTCTTTTATAATCGTTTATAATCAAGAGCTTCTGAAATTAGAAATGTTCTAATTTTAGAAGAACATTTCTTGGCATCTTATTGTGAGAGGGTTTTGTTTTGTTTTTGTTTTTGCATAAAGAGGAACTTTTTAAACATAATTTTAAAAAAAAAATTTTGAGTTCCAAATTCTCTCTTTTCCATCCCCTCACCCACTCACTGAGAAGGTAAGCTATATAATACCCATTAGATATGTAAAGTCATGTAAAACATTTTCCTATTAGCCATGTTGAGAAAAAAGAAAGAAAAATGAAGTGAAAAAAAATATGTTTCAGTTTGCACTTAGAGTTCTTCAGTTCTCTCCCTGGAGATGGATAGCATTCTTCATCATAAGTCCTTTGGAATTGTCTTGGATCATTGTATTGATCAGAGTAGCTAAGTCTTTCACAGTTGATCATCATTACAATATTGCTGTTACTGTGTGCAATGGTTTCCTGGATCTGTTTGCTTAATTTTGCATTAGTTCATGGAAGTCTTCCCAGGTTTTTCTGAAATTATCCTGCTCATTGTTTCTTTTTTTTTTTCTTTTTCTTTTTTTTTTGGCTAGCCAATGGGTTTAAGTGACTTGCCCAAGGTCACACAGCTAGTAAGTTAAGTGTCTGAGGCTGGATTTGAACTCAGGTCCTCCTGCCTGCAGGACTGGTGCTCTATCCACTGTGCCACTTCGCTACCCCCCCTGCTCATTATTTCTTATAGCATGATAGTATTCCATCACAATTATATACCACAACTTGTTTAATCATTCCCCAATTGATGGGCATCCCTTCAATTTCCAATTCTTATACACCTCAAAAAGGGCTGTTATAAATATTTTTATACATATAGGTCCCCTTCTTTTTTGTTTGATCTTTTTGGGATATAGACCTAGTAGTAGTATTGCTGAGTCAAGGGTATGTGCACAGTTTTATAGCCCTTTAGGCATAGTTCCAAATTGTTCCTAAATTTTTGGTTTAAAGTTTAATTAGTAAGATGGAAGTGTTAGTTTTCGAAATTTCTTGGTCTGCTGAATACTTGAAGGGTAAAAGTGTGCAGCTTGTGCTCACTGAATACACTACAGATTTGTTCCCCAGTTTCATCTCAGCCCTCACTGCTGCATGGCAGTCCTTTGGGTATTTCTTAACTTATTACACTCTCCATAGTGGTTATCCAGACATCCTCTCTCCTCAGACTTTCTCCTCAGTCCTTGATCCTTAGCAGGTCTTTGTCTTCTCTTTGACTATTAAAATAGAGGCTCTGTGTTGCAACCTACTCTCTCCTTACTCTTCATCTCAGAACTATTCTTTATCATTATTCATTATCTCTTCCTTTCCTCCAATCTCTGATTAAGAGGTAGGTTATTCTCCTTGCATCACAGTCACTCCCCTTGTTTTCTCTATCCTCTTCTGTCTCATTTCTTTTGGGAACTTGTTACCCTTAATCAGTTACTCTTTCTTATCCGCTAGCTCCTTTTCTGTCCCCTTAAAAACATAACTACGTCTCCTTCTTCCTTAAAACAAAATTAAAAAACCCTTGCGTTGACCTTTCCATTCTGTCAGGTGTATCTCTTCTTCCTTTGACAACCAAACTTCTAGAAGGGATTGTCTGTATTAATTTTAATTTTCTTGGCTCATTTTCATTTCCTTTCAATTTGACTTCAACACTATTACTCACCTGTGATTGTGATCTTATAATTGCTAAATCTAGGGGCTTCTATCTCAGTCCTCATTCTGTTTGACCTCCTACCACTACTCCTTTTCAACCTTCTCTGCTGGATCCTCATATTCCCCAAGGTTCTATCCTCCCTACATGTTTTCCCTTGGTTATTTTATCAGTTTGTAGATGACTCCCAGTCTATATCACCCATTTGGCATTCAAGATTGCCTCGTGGGAGTGGTTTGTTTTGGGTATATCTGCCTCTTTTCTCCAACTCTAATGTCCTACTGGGCAAAAGACATATTGTGTCTTCTTTTTTCCTGCCCAGTGCTGTGAACAGACTTGGAATACAGAGACAGGTTGAACCGATCTGTATGAATGAATTTAGAAGAGGAAAGGTCACTGCTTTATCCATTTGAGAAAGTGTTTGGCAAATAAGTGTTCTCTGCATTTGGTGTTTACATGTCAACATGCTTGTGTATGCTCAAGTCTCACCTAAAGTGTAGGAATAGCTGGATACTGAGCAGGAAGTTGGTGCTTGTTTTACCAAACTGAAAAACTCTTTACAATGTGATCTCCAGAAAAAGGTTAGAAATATGACCAGGAAGAACCAGTTTTGTTTTCTTTACTAGGATTTTTATCTTGAAGACATGGAATCATTGACTCAGAAGCTCAGAGCTTTGGCTACAGATGGGAATAAACACAGAGCCAAAGTTGATAAAAGGAAGCAGCGGTCTGTCTTCAGAGATGTTCTGAGAGCCGTGGAGGTAATCTTAAATTCTTTGCCTAGATTATGTGAATCTGGAGCTATTTTTATAGTCACTATTAACCAGAAAAGCCATATGATTATTTTATATTCTGTAGAGTACAGTGTAATGTATTGTAGTAAAGAATGAAACTTCTTAAAGTGCTTTAGAGCCACAGTAAATTAAAGATTACCACTTTTCATTTTTCAAAACAGTTTTGCATATTTTCTCATTTGATTTTTTTTTTCAACAAAAAACACTGAGGCAGATAAAATCAATATGATCCCACTTTTACAAATGAGGAAATTAAGGCACAGAGAGGTAGTGGCTTGCCTAAATCAGTTATATAACTAATTAGTGGCAGAGCTGGGATTAAAATTTATAGCTTCTCTCAACCTCATTCTCTGTCCTTAGATTAAACTGTTTGCCTAGCCTAGTTGTACTGACTGCTGTAGGTTTTGAGCTATATGATATTAAATTAGCTTTTATATTAGAAGTACATGACTTTTGTAGAATCATCTTTGTTACTATAGTCTGCACCACATAACTTTTTAAAAAAATTTAGTTTTCATTTTTCCCGTTACATATAAGAACAATTTTTAACATTCATTTCTAAAACTTTGAGTTCCAAATTCTCTCCCTCCCTTACCCCCTCCCCCATTGAGAAGGCAAGCAATTAGATATAGGTTATACATGTGTAGTCATGCAAAACATTTCCGTAATAGTCATGTTGTGAAAGAAAACAGAGACAAAAAAAAAAACTTCAAGAAAAATAAAGAAAGTAAAAAAAAAGTATGCTTCAATCTGTATTCAGACATCATCAGTTCTTTGTCAGGGGATGGAGAGCATTTTTCATCATAAGTCCTTGAGAGTTGTCTTGGATCATTGTATTATTGAGGATAGCTAAGTCATTCATAGCTGATCATCTTAACAATATTGCTGTTACTTTGTGCGTAGTACATTTTACTTTGCATCGGCCCATGCAAGTCTTTCCAGGTTTTTATGAGAGCATCCTGCTCATCAATTCTTATAGCACAATAGCATTCCATCATAATCACATACCACAATTTATTCAGCCATTCCCCAATTGAAGGGCATCCCCTCAATTTCCAATTCTCTACCACGTAGCTTTTTAAAAAATTCCTTTTATATTATTCATCTGAGGGCCTTGGGCTGAAATAATCAATTTCTTTGCATCCTTATAACTTATATGTCTTTTAAGCCTAGCATATAGGTAGCTTAATAAATACTTGTTAATTGATTGTTCCTCTCATGCCCATTTTGTGTTTTATTGTAATTTTTCATTGTTTTGATCTTCAAATAGCACTGTGATAGTACAGTTTTTGCATGAGTATACAATACTGTAACTTAGCAAAAGTGAACTAGTTCATCTTTTAAGGGACCTTAGAGTTCTAAAATTCTGTGATTCTTTTTTTGTTTCGTTTTGTTTTTTTGTTTGTTTTTTAGGCAGTTGGGGTTAAGTGACTTGCCCAGGGTCACACAGCTAGTAGAATTCTGTGATTCTTATAACTTTACTTGAGTATTTAGAATGGGAGTAAATATTCCCAGGCTGTCATTCCTTTGCCTGTAAAAATTTGGAAATTTCATACAGGATAATAATAGGAAGAGAGCTAGCTGTTTCCAGTGTCCTTGACACAGTGTCTCAAAAAGAGCAACAATTTTGGAGTCATAGGATTTTAGATTGAGTGCTGAGACATTAGATATCGCCTCTCTAGTTCAATCACCCCATTTTACGGAGTAGCAAACTTGATGCCCAGAGGGGTTGTGACTTTCCCAAGGTGATACACAGAGGTATTAAGGGACAGAGCTGGGTTTCATACTAGGCTTCTCTGACTTCCAAGTTCAATGGGAGAGTTTACTCCATACCACAAAGTGACTTTCAGGTTCTGGCTCTTCCACTTAGTACATGTCACTTAACAACTTACCTGGGCCTAATTAAACTCTCACATGTGTAAAATAAAAGAATTTAAAACTAAGGTGATCTCCAAGGTCCTTTCAAACTATGACCTTTTAAAAAAGTATTCATGTTTCAGGTATCGTGGAAAGGAAGCCAAGTAACCTTTTGCAAAACTGCTTAGCAATGCGTTTATTTCAGCATCTATGTGTTTAGAAATTCAGTTACCTGAGCAAATGCCTTAAATTTTCCATTTTTTTTTTAATAGGAGCGTGATTTTCCAACAGAAACTGTTAAATTTGGACCTGAACGTATGTATATTGATTGCTGGGTCAAAAAACAAACTTATGATACTTTTAAGGAGATTCTGGGAACAGGGATGCAGTACCATCTACAGGTGAGTTGCTACCATTGTCTACATTTTTTGTTTTTAAAATTTTGAGCAATTTTGCAAAGTTCCGAATCTTGAATAAGTTTAACTTTTGTATTTGGGATGTGAATGAATGCTTTTTTATATAATATTTGAAAAGCAAATAGATTTTTCTGATAAAACCTGTAAAAAATACACTGTACATTTCCTTAGATAGAAATATAAGATCAAAAAATTAGTTTCTGTGATATAAATGTAAGACCCAAAGATAGGAACCATATCAGTGTTTTTAGTGGTATAGCACACTTTACTGGGTAAAGAAATTCCCATTACCACTGCAGGACATTATCTTCTTTGCAACTCTATAGTCTTAGACAATTGCCTAGAATCACTAAGATTAAGTATCTTGCCCAGGGTCACCATAGCCAGTAATACATCAAAGGCAAGACTGGAACCCTGGTTTTCTTGGCTTCAAGGCTAGCACTCTATTCATTGTGCCACGTTGCCTTTTTTTAAGTGTAAAATATATAGGAACAATTTACTGTAAGTACAGAAATGGAAAACAACTGGCTGAAATTTGTATTTCTGCTGTTATTCTTTAAGGTTGCTGTGTAATGTTTATTGACAAGCCTTAAATTCTCATTGATTTATTTTTGTTAGTCAAATGAATTTCTTCGGAATGTATTTGAGCTTGGACCACCAGTGATGCTTGATGCTGCAACTCTTAAAACAATGAAAATTTCGCGTTTTGAAAGGGTAGGTTTTTAAAGCCTTATTCAGTGCATTAAAGAAAAATTGCAATAAAATAACATTTGCACTATGAAGTAGATAGGTTTTAACTGTATCTTCCAGTGATTTGGACTTAATAATTAATGTTACTGTGATAATGGTGCTGTTGCTGTGACCTTAGCTTTATTTTAGTTGGGTTGGGATTTTTTTTCATATTCCTGAATTATGGTTTGATGGACTAAATCCTTTGCATAGTCTACCTGACTTGTTTGCGCGTGCCACATGCACATATGCACATGTATTTATTATACATATAAGTATATGTTATGAATGATCCCCTCCACCCCCCCAAAAAACCCACAAATGGCCACCTGGGAGTGACTTCGCCTAAAGGAATTCCTTTTTCTGTCTTAGTTCCCTATGCTGGAGATTTCTCTCCTCTCCTTTGTCTTTCCCATGACAACTGCATATGCTGCTACTGTCTGGGATTCATCCTAATTCTTAGGTTCTTACCTTATACCACTGCTTCATGTCTAGATTCTCTTTCAGTACGTGGGTTGTCAAGAATGAAGGGGAAAGCGAGAAAGTTTGGAGCAGAGGCCAGAGACATGAATTACAAATTAGAAATTGTACATTATGGGCTTATTAAACCTTTGTGTTCTAGCTTTTGAATCTAACCATATATAACGTTTTCACAGGAAATTCACACAGTTTCAGACAACCAGTTAATAAACTCAACTTTTATAATACACTGTCTTTTTCAGTGTTAGGCCAAAAAGTGTAAAAAGTTTAGCTATGTAAGGATGTACAAGTTTTACTTGACTCATTGTTATTCTGTTTGGTTTTTGGTTTTTTTTTTTGTTTGTTTTTGTTTTGTTTTTTTTAAGCATTTATATAACTCTGCAGCATTTAAAGCTCGAACAAAAGCTAGAAGTAAATGCCGTGACAAGAGAGCAGATGTTGGAGAATTCTTCTAGATTTCTGTTATTTGAAGACAACTACTCATTTCTTAATTCGAGATCTTTTCTATAATTTCCAGAGTATTTAACAATTTTTATCATGGCGGTGGGGGGACAGGGTGAACATACAACTTAGATGAATTTTGTAATGAGTCCTAAATTCCTTATAACATTTATTAATACTGTATAACATTTATTAATGCAGTATTGCAAATGAGTGTAATTATTGAAGCCTCTTTGTATATAGAATTAGTAAACTTTTAATAAAGTTTTTATAATATTTGATCAGAATCCATTTATGAAGCAGGGCAAAAATTCTTATGGTTCGCCTCAGATAATTCCTCCAATGAAAATGGCATGTTATAAATTGTACAAGGTTGTGTGTGTGTGTGTGTGTGTGTGTGTGTGTGTATCTTAGACTTTTTGGTTTCCAGAAATGTTAATTGACTATTACCAATCCAAATCTCTACCCCTTAAGGTTTATAAATTTTTGCCATAAGGTAGAAAAATAGGGACCTAATTCTGAAAGTTTCTTAGTCACTTAAAAAGCTGCTATATTTTGCCCTTTAAATGGAACTTGTTAATTGTAATTGTTCAGTTGGCAGACTGGACTTAATAAGGAATTCCGTTGTACAATATGTGCACACTTTCAGCTACACAAAGGCATTAAACAGTGCTCTTGGTATTAATGAAATGTTATATGCCATATCACTTATTAAACATCTTTAAAAGCAATAACACTGATTTTATCTCCTGTGTAAGACCATGTGTTCATTGCTTTAAAATAAAGATCTTTTCTCATTAAGTGTTTTCTTTTTTTCAACAATGAGAAGTTTTTTATTAGTTGAGGTAAGTACTTGTAATTGACTTTGGAAGAACAAACAGGTTTATTCCTTGTACTGATGCCAAAATCTGCAAATGTGTGTGTCATGTGATTGGTACAAAAAGCTAATGACTGACTAATAACATGGATTAAATACCTCCTTGAAATATTTTTTCCTTTACAAGTAGACAAAAAAAAATTAAAAGCAACTTTCTAATGTCCTAGCCCCTTTGAAATATTCCAGAAAGCATTGTTTGAAAGTTTGAAACTCATTAAAAACCTAGAATGTATTGTGGCAGAATATTGACTATGTAGAGATTATGTGATGATCAGATAGTCAGAATGGCTTCCTTAAACAGTAAGTCTTGCCAGACTAACTTTATTTCTTTTTACAGGGGTAGAATGTTAGGTTAGTAATTATGGAAATGAATTTGGCAAGGTTAACTGCTATATTAATATTTTTATTAATGGTTTGGATAAAGGCAGAGATGACAAGTTGATCAAAGAGCATTGAGGCCCATCTAATAATTTAGATTTCAATATTAATAGGGTAAAGTTCAATTTAGAAATTAAAAATGAGGAAAGATCTGGTACATACCAGTTAATCCAAAAAAAGAAAAAGAATTTGTGCAAGCTTTGTATGTGGGAATAGTATGATGATATGGCTACCAAATAATAAGTGATGTTTACATCACTGTTTGTGTAACATTCCCTCGGGCCAGTTGCCTAACCAACATTCATATTGGCAAGCCGAATCCCCGGAGAGAGGTTTCTTCCCTTGGAATCTAAGTGTAAATCTGAGGGGTTGAAGTTTTTAGTTCGTTGATGAGCTCCCATTTTGTGTGCCCCATCAGTCAGCCAACTGACATCAATTAGCTTTTACTGTGGGATATTTACTGAGAAGATTAGAGTGATAGCAGTAGTTATACGAGAATCCCCCCTCCAAACAAGAAGGTTCCCTCTACCCTTTGCATACACACAGTCCTTGGGAAAGTAGGCAGGCCCTAGGAGTCCCTTCTTAGACCTCCTACCAGGTTCACTTTGGGGCAAGGGATTGCCATTGTACAAATTACTCCCTTACTCTGCTAGCCTTGCTTCTTGAAGGCTGACAGGTTAATCTACTGCTGGGCTCAGTCAAGCTAGTTCAGTCATGTTTAGCTGCTGTTGCTACTAGCTCTGCTTGCTGATAAGACCTCTTTTATATACCTTTCCAAAGTGACAGATTATCTTGGCACTTCCTAATACCTAAAATCTGGAAGAGATAAATAAAAAAGAAACTGTGCACTTGTAAACTGGTGCTGGCCAGGTGGGAGATAGGACAGCTTCCCTTTCTCCACTAGAAGTACTTGCTACCCAAATAAGGAAGTGGATGGTAACACTCCTTTAGCATAGCCATTGAGGTTGATTACTAGCAGCCAATTTTAAGGCTTTATCACTAACCGCACAATACAAATACTCTTGTGTAATGGCCAACAGAAATCAGTCAGAGGATATCTGTATGCTTTGAAAGGGGTGGGAGTTGAAAAAGATGCTCTCCATCATGCATATGTTGAAATGACCATCCTAAGCTTCATGGACCTTCCTAGAATATTGGCTGACTACTCCCTAATTATGGGTGTGAGTGTTTTGGGAGAGAGAGCCAATTACTTATTTGCAAAACATCTCATTTGATTCTCCAAACTGAGGCAAGTTGCTACAAGCATGTTTTGCCCCGTTTTGCAAATGAAGGAACAAGCTTTTAGAAGTGAAGTAAGTGACTTGCTTATGGTCATGTTATTATCAAATGGATTTTAAACTCAGGTGTTTGACTTCCAAGGCTGATGTTTTATCCACTGTATTAGCCAACTTAAAAGAAAAAAAAGCCATCTCGGCCTGCTTAGTGTCCAGGAAATAGGCCTGCTGTAACTGCCTCCAGACTATATCTTCAATATTGTGTTCATTCTCAGGAAACCCTGTTTAGTAAGAAAATGCCTGGGAGAACCATAACACTGAATTCCTTGAGGGCAGGAACTACTTTTGCCTTTTTATGTATTCCATTGAAATGATAAATTATGAAATAGAGGCAGGCATGCCTGCGGTTCTTTGGGTACTCCCTGGGAAGACCATGATTAGCAGCAGGAACCAGGGAGGCAGTCACACTAAACACAGAGGGTATGGAAGCAAAAAGCCTGTGAAGGCAGAGACAGACGGTACAGAGGCGGACCGTAGCGTAGGGACAGGAATTGTGCTGGTGAAGGAAGGAAAGCAGGCACTGGGGAAAAGAAGGGGAGTAGAGTATCACTCATGGGACCATGGATTGGAGTGGGAGCACTAGGCAGTGTGGGCCTGGTGGAGAGGGAAGGGTGATTGGGGGCAGGAGTTCAAGGTCTCATTTTTAATAGGGTTTTTTTTGGGGGGGGTGGCAAATGGACCAACTCTTATCTGTCACCTTGGGGTAAAGTTCATTCCAAATATCCAAATTGTTTCAAATGTTATCAGTAAAACTTCAGTTACATCTCAAAATTATCAGCACCTTTTTCCATGTTCTTTTGGTTTGGAACGGTGGAGGTCTGGAATTTGCATATCTCAGGATCAGAAGGCCTTAACAGCAAAGCCTAGTGGGCTTCCACTGATTCATCACACATTATCAGGATGTGAATTTTGATTAATATGTGATACTACTTTTAAATTATGCTCCTTTGATCTTTGGGACGGTTTGTATATGACTTCCAGATTCCCTTTGCAATCTTCATGCTCCTGCTCCTTTATTCAGGCTAATTATGAACTTACTATAGTGACTAGAAGGGGGTAGAGGTGGTCAGGGAGACTAGAACAAGAAACAATTGTAACACATGCACTTAGCACAGTGGCTGGCACAAAGTAGGTGCTTAATAAATGCTTATTGACTTGAAAATACAGAGGAAGGTAGCAAGACTGGTGAAGGATCTCAAGATATGTCATGAACACTGGTAAAAGGAACTGGGAATGGCTAGCTTAGAGAAGAGAATCCTTAGGGGAACATAATACCTGTCCAATTTATAATTGATCGGCTGTCATGTAGAAGAATTTGATCTGTTCTACTTGGCCCCAGAGCCAAGAACTAGAGGTGTAATTTGCAGAAACAAATTTGGATGTGATATAAGACAAACTTCAAATGAGAGTTGGAATGCTTTAGAAAGTAGGTTTCCGATCACCAGACATCTTCAAGACAAGTGGTATATTATAAAGGGGCTTCAGATTATTTTGCCTTGGGTTCCTCCTGACCCAACATCCTATAAAGTAGACTTTCATTTAAATAAGTGTAATTCTTCATTGCATTTGCAGAGAATTTTTCTGCTTAATCATTTAACTTATAAGCATAGTGCTTATTCTCCTAACACATCCTATTCCAGTAACTCTTGGTGGTGAAAGTGATCCTATGTTCTGGAAAGCTGTGTCAGCAAAACACACACCCCTAGAAGGGTCTTCCTGGTCCAGGGGTGGGGAACCTTTGGTTTCAAGGCCACGTGTGGCCCTCTAGGTCCTCAAGTGCTGCCCTTTGACTAGATCCAAGCTTCACAGAACAAATCCCCTTAATGAAAGGATTTGTTTGTAAAACTTGGACTCAGTCGAAAGGCCAAACCCAAGGCCCTAGAATGCTACATGTGGTCTCAAAGCCACATTAAATTTGGAGGGGTTGTTCACTAGAGTCCTGGTCACCAGGTAATGACCTCTTTGGGTCACAACAACTTATGAAGATTGTTGTGAGCTGTGCAGTCCAAATCAGTGGAAGGAGCAAGGCTGATGAAATAACAGATGTTGGAAAAATCAAGTCAAGAAGCAATTATTAAGTGATGTCCATGTTCCAGTCACTGTTCTAAGTACAGGGGAGGGGGGGAGGACAGAGAGAAGGGGGGAGAGAGAGAAAAAGAGATAAAGAGAAAGAGAGAGAGAGAAAGAGATTAAAATACACAGTTAATGAATTTTTAAATGGCTTTGATCCACAGAAGGGATAAGCATTCCCTTCATTCCACTCATGGCCACCACCACTTTGGTGCAAACCTTCATTGTCTCACACCTGAACTATAGCAATAGCCTTCTCATTGGTCCTCCTGCCTCAGGTCTCTTACCCACCCCAGTCCATCCTCTACTCAGCTGCCAAAGTGATCTTCTTAAAGTTCACTTCTAGCCACATCACCCCCCTCCTCTCCCTCTGGCCACATGGGGAATCATACCCTTACCTATGGGTACTCAGCCTAAAGGAATATAAATTTTTGTCCCTGAAACCTCTCAAGATATCTTGGGGTTATGGTGAGATTTTTTTCCCTTCTCTTCCCTATTTATCCGTTCTGTCATTAAAAAAAAAAAATCAACATTGGGACAATTAACTCTTTTGTCCCAAGAAGTTTCATTTATGATTTATTGAAATAGAGCATTGGAAAACCAGGCCTTGATAAAGTCCATTGGGATTCAAATGGAGCTACCTGACTGTGCCTTAAACTCAAATTAT